TTATTATTATTGTTGTTGTTTTTATGTAGCTTTGTCCAGAGAATAGTGAAGAGTTTGTTGATTATTTGATATCAATAGATAGACTTGATGAAGCTGCCATCAAACTAGCTGAAATTGTCAATAAAGTAACGTCTCTCTCTCTCTCTCTCTCTCTCTATTTTACTTTATTTTTATAAATTATATTTCTTCTACTTAGGAGTCATTCTTCTCAAAGGAAGGTAAGTCCAAGTTCCAGTTGTGGTACGAGCTGTGTGAGCTGATAGCTAAGAACCCTGACAAAGTAAGTACTCACTGATTTATTAATTATACTTTTATTTTATTTTATTTTTGTTTTCTTTAGGTGACTAGTTTAAATGTAGAGGCTATCATTAGAGGAGGAATAAAACGGTTCACTGACATGGTGGGTCAGTTGTGATGCTCACTAGCAGACTATCACATTAGAGCTGGTAGATTTGAGAGAGTAAGTTACATTATACATATACTGTCAGTCACTATAACAGTACTGTACAATGTACATGTACATGTAGTTTATATTTTATAAATGTTCATAACTTGAAAATTATTTGTCGGAATCAGCTCAAACTTTCTACATAGCATAAGGACATCAATATGTAACAGAAAATCTAATAAAAATTAGGGGGTGATTTTTTGGCCATTTTTGGAAAAAAGCATGGGCTGTAGCCTTGGGTATTTTTCAGATTTTGGCAAATTTCTTAAAATGGCCATAACTTGAAAATTTAAAGTCGGAATTAGCTCAAACTTTCTACATAGCATAAGGACATCAATATGTATCAGAAAATGTAATAAAAATTTGGGGTGATTTTTTGGCCATTTTTTGGAAAAAAGCATGGGCTATAGCCTTGGGTATTTTTCAGATTTTGGCAAATTTCTTAAAATAGCCGTAGCTTGAAAAATTTAAGTTTGAATTGACTCAAACTTTCTACATGGCATAAGGACATCAATGTGGATCAGAAAATGTAATAAAAATTGGGGGGGGGATTTTTTGGCCATTTTTTGGCAAAAAGCATGGGCTATAGCCTTGGGTATTTTTCAGATTTTGGCAAATTTCTTAAAATGGCTGTAACTTAAAAAGTTTTAGTCGGAATTGGCTCAAACTTTCTACATAGCATAAGGACATCAATATGTATCAGAAAATGTAATAAAAATTGGGGGTGATTTTTTAGCCATTTTTTGGAAAAAAGCATGGGCTATAGCCTTGGGTATTTTTCAGATTTTTGACCAATTCTTGAAAATTGTCATAACTCGAAATATTTTAGTCAGAGTGGGCTCAAACATTTTACATGGCATAAGGGCATCAATGTGTATTTTTTAATGTAATATAAATTTGGGGGATTTTTAGCCATTTTTTAGAAAAAGCATGGGTAAAGTACAGGGCATTTTTCAGAAAATGGCCAATTTTAAAAATGCTCATAACTTGAAAAAGTTAAGTCAGAATCAGCTCAAACTTTCTACATAGCATGAGGACATGAA